GCAGGGAGCCCGATGCGGGGCTCGATCCCAGGACCCTGGAATGATGACCTGAGCCGAAGGCAGACGCTTAACGACTGAGCCACCCAGGCGCCCCTGGCTTATTATGTTTTTATCTTTAATGGTTGTTTCATACTATCTTTAATTCTACTGGTAGATTTAAATCCTCTAGAAAGTACTCAGAGTATGTATGTACATCTGTATATATTTTCCATCTCTTACTGTTTTCCTTCTGACATCTCTTACATTTTTGGGTATCATTCTACATTTAATGACCTGGAAATTAAAAACAATACTGACACCAAGAGGTTAATTTAATAAAGACCAAGCAATCTGCCTCACTCACTCCCCCTCACAAAGCCCTGCCGCCCAGCAAGTGTATCACCTTTGCAGTAGTCAGCAGGGTCCTCCTGCTCCTCATCGTCGGATCCTAGGATCTCCTCCTCGGGCTCTGGGGGTGTGGGGTCCGGCAGAGGCGGTGGCGGAGGCGGCGGAGGCGGCGGCGGAGGAACTAAGGGAGCTTTCTGCTGAGGCTCCGGCCTGCAACAGTGGAAGGAAAATTCCTGTTTACTTAGAAGTCAATCTTGCATTACGGACACACGTAAGAGTTTCTTAACGCAAGAAAAAAATAAAGCTTGTCACACACTAAGAAGAAATGTTGATTAACGTCACTTTGTCATTTTAGCTAAATTCAAGTAATGCTTCAACATACAGGTCAGGAGGAAAAATTATACTTTGCAGACACATTTTCATTCAGAGATTCAGTATTTCTTAAGTCCTGACAATATTATGAAATATAAGTGAAAAGGAAAGAGTATTCATCCTGCCCCCATGATACACAGCCTTATTAGTTAGAACACATCCCACAGAGATTATAAAAAGGCAGATGAAAGCAGCCCCGAATTTAAAAAAGGACTTATTTTCCATTTTTTTTAAATTAAATCCCATAGAAATAGTTAGGAATGTGGTTAGGTTCCCTGGATGACTTCTAAAAGCTAATATATGCTGTAGCTGATGTACAGTTATTTTCATTAAGGAATTCAGTTATCTATCAACCTCTGGGAATTAAAGAGAACACCCACTGTCAAACACAGATATAGTCCATACATTAATGCCAGGTTTGCAAAATGGTCATTTCTAATTGTCACATAAAGGCTCAATGATGATTAAGTATGCTCTTTTACAAAAGATAAGAAAACCTGTAATGCAAAAAAAAATTTTTTTAAGCTTGAGAGATTACAGATATAACCCTTCTTTCAAGTACCCAGAAACTCAAGAGCATACTGAATACATTTGCTTAAATAAGTAAAGCATTCATAATGCAATTCTATAAAATCAAGCTTTCACTTACTATAAAATTTAACTGCTATTTCTAACCACGTCCTTCTGGGGAAACTTGAACCTAAGGTCACAACGTAGGCACTAGAAGCACATCTCTCCCTTAAACTACAAGCTGCCCTAGCAATGGGACCTCCACCGCTCTCCCTGAGGGGGCCAGCACTGTGTGTGGGTAGGAAATGGGGAGGTACAGATACCCTGCGGAAGGTATCTCCATGTTCCCCAGAGAAGGCTTCAGTAAGTGAGCAGGGGGTCTCCAGTCTGGGGAGCAAGGGGGATCCCACAAGCACTAATGTGGTAGACAAGTGCTCTTGTCTTTGGCCTGCCCAGTATTCATGCTCCCCTCCTCCAAGCAGCCTTTGAGACACCGCTGCCCTCTGCACAACGGAAGCCCGGTTCCAGATCCGCTCTTCCCGGTGGTACAGCCGAGGGCACAGACAGCCAGAGCTCACTTGAGAGCCCTGGTGCCTTCAGGTCAGCAGTCACAGGGGACACGTTCATCTGCTAGTACGAGGCAGGGCCAGCAGAGCTGCCCTGTCCGCTCCCCCCTTCTAAGCCGGACCTCTAAGATCCCCCAAATAGCCCTTACTATATTGCCTTTAGCCTAAGTTAGCTACAGTTCATTTATGTGGTTCGCCCCCCCAAAACTCAAACTGCCACAAGCAACTAAGGGGGGCAGGGGTGAAAGGCAGCGGAAAGGCCAGCAGTTGTGAGGAACTGGGGGGTGGGAGGTCCTTAAAGGCAAACACCGGCAAGTAGGACTACCTTTGGCAGAACTAACGAAAGCTTCTGTGCTAAAAATGACTTGTACTGATTTCTACTTGCTAGAATTTATGAAGACTCAAAGTTACAGCCCTTTGGGTGACAAACACTAGGAGCGTGCTGGTGGTCACATTCTGAGTTAACCACTGCTCATGATGGAGCACTGGAAGAGTCACAACCAAACACCCACATCACTGCTCCAAATACGTCCAAAATATATCCAACACGGGGTGCCTGGGTGGCTCAGTCGTTAAGCGTCTGCCTTCGGCTCAGGTCACAGTCCCAGGATCCTGGGATCGAGCCCCACATTGGGCTCCCTGCTCCGCAGAGAGCCTGCTTCTCCCTCTCCCACTCCCCCTGCTTGTGTTCCCTCTCTCGCGGTGTCTCTATCAAATAAATAAATAAAATCTTTAAAAAAAATAAAAATAAAAAAATAAAGTATTGGCAAGGACGTAGAAAAACTGTAACCCTCATATACTGCTGGTGGGAATATACAGTGATATGCAGCTTCTTCAGAAAAACAGTCTGGCAATTCCTCAAGATATTTAAACATGGAGTTACAATATGACCCAACGACAATTCCACTCCTGGGCATACCCAAGAAAATGAAAACATGCCCACTTAAAAACTCATATACAAATACACACTACACACACACGCACACATATATACACAAACTACACGCATACACAGAGTAGCATATTCTTAATAGCCCCAAAAATAGAAACCAAAAGTAAATCAACTGATAAATGGACAAACAAAATGTAATATATCTCAACCACAGAATATTATAGTATAAAAAGGTATAAAGTAATAATATATGCTATAACATGGATCAAAGTTAAAAAGATGCTAAGTATGCCAGCTACGAAAGACTACATACTATAGGACTCTATTTATATGAAATGTCCAGAATAAGCAAATCCACAGAAAAAAGAAAGTAGATTAGTGGTTGCCAAGGACTGGGAAGAATGGGGATGAGGACTGCTAATGAACATATTTCTTTTTTGGGGTGATGAAACTTTTATGGAATTAGACAGTGCTAATAGTTGCCCAATCTGTAAATATACTGAAAACCAATGATTTGTAGCCTTTAAAGTGGTAAATTTTATGTAAAGTATTCCCCCCTTTCTAGTAGTTTCAATTAGCATGGTCAACTGCAGTCTGGAAGCAGATGATCCTCCTCCTAGCATTCACCAGAAGATCAATAGTAGCCTAACACGAGGTCACAATGCCTAGGTCATTCCCCTCACTTCACCTCATCTAGTAGGCATTTTTTTTTTTAAGATTTTATTTATTTATTTGACACAGAGAGAGCACAAGCACAGGGAGAAGCAGAGAGAGAGAGAGGCAGACTCCCCACTGAGCAGGGAGCCAGACAAAGGGCTCGATCCCAGGACCCTGGGATCATGACCTGAGCCGAAGGCAGACACTTAACGGCTGAGCCACCCAGGCGCCCCGTGGCAGGCATTTTTTCATCTCGCATCGCCACAAAAACAAGAAGGATGAGTACAGAACAATAAGACATTTGAAAGAGAGAGGGAGGGAGTGAAAGAGAGAGAGAGAGAGACCACATAACTTTTATTACAGTATAACTGTTCTATTTTATTATTGTTCTTGTTAATCTCTTTACTGTGCCTGATTTATTTATAACTTAAAATTCATCACAAGCATGTATGTAAAGGAAAAAACATGTGTATATAGGGTTTGCTACTACCTGCAGCTTCAGGCATTCATGGGGGTCCAGGAACATAACCCTAGTGGATTGGGGTGGGGGAGCTATTGTAATCAATACAGGAAACTGTATGAGGGGAAAAAAAAAAAAACCCAGCAAGTTTTCAAGTACTGCTAGTCAATACAAAATAGAAAAAAAAAAAAACAAAAACCACAAACCTTCAACAAAATCTAAAACTCCTTTACTTCATTTCAATCTTTTCAATTCTAGGTTGAAACAGGATCCAGTACAGATAAATAGGAAAATCACTCTACCCAATCCATTCTACCAATCCAGAATATCAATAACGCTAAGAAGGAGAGGGATCTGGACTAGGAACTCTTAATAATACAGTTCTTTTTTATACTAGCCGCGAGAGAGAAATAAAAAAACCCGGCAACTCTATTGTAAACTTCAAAGTTGCTAAGAGACTAGATTATAATCATTCCCACTACAAAAAGGAAATGATAATTATGTGAAATGATAGAAGTGTTATCCAACGCTAAGGTAGTAATCATAGGGGGCGCCTGGGTGGCTCAGTCAGTTAAGC